AATCCTCCTCCAGCTAATTGCCATATAGAGGCCACATTACCGTTTCTTTTTCTACATATTCTTTTTTTTCCAAAAATTTATTTATTAACTTAAATTCAACTCATCTTACAAAAGTTTTACATCACATCTACCCAAAAAATCAACATCACAAAAACCGCCTAATATACAACTACAATTAAAATAATTAAAAACTATTTGTAAAAGAAACCACATAATTGCCGTAGAATTTTCTAGATCTTTCTGCACTTTATTTACACTTACATTTTTAAATCAATTGGAAAAAGGTTTATATTATACAAAGAAGTAACCAAGGCATAAAAGAATTTAATTTAAAACAATTCAATGTTAAGCATACTCCATTTAATTTTAAGCATACTCTGACAACTGATGAGATTCTGTATTTTTTAAAAAAAATTAGAACACATATTTTCACTTAAATCATAAAATTCAGGTTTAAAACAAAAAATTAAGTTATAAAGACTGGAAATGGAAATGATCAGTAGTACAACGACGATAGTTACAGTTTAAATTTAAATCCTATTGCTATTCTAGTTATCAACAAAAACACAAGACCATTTTAAGGTGTACATTAGTATTATAAATCCTTCAAATGACTATTTTTAATGTCAGTTTAAATTTTACAACTTATTTATCAAAAAAAAAAAAAAAAAATTTGAATAAACAAATAAAACACAACTTTAATCCGAAAAAAAAAACATCATTGCAAATAGGGAACTGCCTGTAGCTAAATACACAACACCTTTATTTACATTGACATTTAATTTGCATTTAATAAATTGTTCTTTTATTATTGCACAATTATTTTTATTTACCTGCTTCTTCTCATCTTTATTTTTTCTCGTTTTTTTTCAGCTACTGCTTCTAAGACTTTTTCCCCCTCCTTTAATCCATGTTATTGAGTTACTTTTATGGTTTTTTTGAAGGTTTCTTTTGGGGTAACCCGTTGAATGTGGTAGCAAATTCAGAACATCTTCAAAAGGAAACGGAGATTCAGCAAGATCTTGAATAACTCTATTTGCATTTTCAAGATTTTTTTTATAATATTCACGAGAACCCGTTCTAACATCGTGAGAGGATGAAACAATTGGCACTTTTTGTACCGAGCATATTTTTTGGGGTCTGAGAAGACTGATTAGTTGCTATACATCTTACTGCTTGTTCAATTTTATCATTTTGCGTCTAGTTAAAATTTAGACCTGACTCTGCAATACCAACCGCTTAAGCTGCTTTAATTAAAAATTCTTTTGTTGTCCTTGATGACTAATATTTAATATAAAGACACTCCTAATATTTCCATAAACCCAGAACGATCAATTGTCATTTTACTAGAAAACAGTTTAGATTTACATTGACAATAATGATGGCGTAAACTATTATTTACTTGATCCAACATTTGTGTTACATCTGTTGTGTCTAGCGGTCCAACAAAAAAGATGAACTTGTTTTTCACTACAATAATGAAGGACGCTCACGTCAAACTCTGAAGAGGTCCACAGGTCTTTCTACGTTTTTCTCTGTTGCATTTCTGATGAGTCTTTGTTGATGAAACACAGTGTAAAATGAAAAAAAAGTTTTTGTTAAGTCATTTTCTACTAATTTATATATATATATATATATATATATATATATATATATATATATATATATATATATATATATATATATATATATATATATATATATATATATATATATATATATATATATAATAATGTATACATATATAATAAGTGAAATTAGTAAAAATTGATGAAAAAAGTAGTTTAATTGGACAATTTTGTATAGTGGGCGTTTAGTGCAATGTTCCCTGATTGTTAGCGTTGGTTCTAAATTGAATCAATGTTGGCTTTCCGCTTGCAAAACGTTGCTGCGCCAGCACTGGCTTGCGTATACTGGCCCTTTAAATAACCAATGAGCAACCAGGCGCTGGCACGGCGCCATTGTTCCAGGCCTGGTACAATAGCAAACCATGATCTCCACCGAGCCTGGTTCGCTATTGGTCCAAATAGTGTCTGCTTACTAGGGAAATAAGATTTTATTTCAATTTTCAAATCAAAACTCTATCTTTTATAGATATATGGAATACATTTGTATAGAATATATTTTATTAAAGACAAAAGGGGCCATCCATAAAGGACTTTGTCCAAATAGGAAGGGTGGGGGAGGGGTGCGAGATAAATTGAATAAAAAAAAACAAGAAGAGAGGGAAGTTTGTCAGAATAGGACGTCACTTTATAGATTTTTTATTTTAGTTTAATTAACATGAAAAACAATGTAAATATGTGTTTTTAAGAAGATAATGTATAAGAATGTTTTTAATTTTGTTTTTTAAAGGTGTAGCAGCAGATTCAAACATCATTACAAGATGAACAAATATTTTGAATGGTTTAAATTAGGGGTTAAGGGGAAGCATGATTTTACGATGTCTTTTTTAAGGAAGTAAAGGGAAAAAGGACAACCGGTGACAAAGGGGGGGGGTGAGGGGTCAAAAGTTGGCTAAAAAATTATGACGTCCTTTATGGATGGCCCCAAAACAATTTATTCAGTACTATTGCAATAAATACAATCTCTTATCCGTGAAAATGATATATCTGTATCAGTTTTATATATTTTAATGCATTTGTATGCAACATAATAAAAAATAATTAAAAAATGTAAGATAAATGCAAAAGGAAACTTGGGGAATAAAGGTTTACGTTGCCACAAACTGACGTCAATGTCCAAAATCATTTTGGCTAAACTTTTAGAAAAGCGTTTAATATTATTTTTGTAGTTTTTGATAATAAAAATTAATTTTTTTTTTTATGGCTTTGGTTTAGTGCTCTTAGATCTTCCTAATTTCATTTGTATAGCGTTAGGTACAAATTTATGTAAGTGTTGAGTTTGCAGGCATTTTATGGAATAATCGCGTATATCTATATATCTTTAAAATGAGAAAACTTGAAAATTTTATTTTAAAATTTAGAAATCTTTTTTTCTATATTCTTATTTTTTTGCTAAGAATATGTAAGCAAGATTTTAGAAAATTTCAAAATTTATTACGCTAAAAGGAGTTTTTAAATCCTCTAAAACAACGCTGATGACAGCGCATTTAACCACTGCTCTATCAACAAAATGCATTTAGCAGAAAAACAAACCTAATTATAAGCCTCTTATAAGCTCTACGTATGCGGAAAAGGTGCACATGTTAAGTTTTTTGCTCTTAAATATTTTTTTAGAATAAATTATTTTACTTAAAAACATTGAAGCAAATAAGAATTAGGTAAAGAATTTATCGGCTATACATTGATATGTATATTTGTAAAGACTTGTAAATTTGTAAAGTGTTTTACGGATACGGAAAGCTAGGATATGTAAGGAAAAATTATAGAAAAGTTCTATTTGGAATAGATATACAATGACCCGCATTTTTACGGAGCCGATCTCAGCTAGTTTGTGAATATCGCTTTTTCTGCATTAGGCGAAAGGTTACTCCATAAACAATGACTTTTTAGGTTTTTACTAGCATGGATATAATACTTTTTAATATTTAAAATGAATGTGGACAGTTTTTTTTTTGTATTTTCTTGTAGACATATGTTTTTATTTGTTGCATACAATACTAATGCATTTTCTTTATCCTATGTCAAAAATAAAAGATGGTTTTTATTTTCACCAACTTTAGCACCATCTAAAATGTGATTTTTAGTTCTAGGATCAACATTATAACCAATTTGTTTAACAGATTTTTAGTCTCGATAGTTGTTTTTTTACAATAATCCACAGCATTTGCGAAATGTTTATGTTTAACTCTATTTCGTCTCTGTAAGAAGCTGCTTGATTTTTTGCTTTAGATCTTAACCTAAGATTGAACTTCGGTCTTATTTTAATTTACTTTACCTCTTAAAACAAAATTAAAAAGCATTATGAATAATTTAAAATATAACCTTCTAGTACTTTGAAAAATCTTACCTGCATTTTAAGGTGCAAAAAACCTATATTATAAAGTACAGCTGAAAATCTGAAAGTTATTTATACAATCTATTTACTTGTATTTAACATAAAACAATTGTGAAACTATAACACAAAAATTTACAGAAACAAAAAGGTTGTTCTAAAGATATTGCCATAAAATAAAACCTACATTTTAAGGTTCACATGGTAAAATAGGCCTTATTTTGCGGTGCAATTGCTGATTTATAAGAGAGTGTAAGTACAACAAGCACCCCAAGGGAATTTAAATGATTATAAGGTATGTACATAATCTGAAAAATAGCTTTCAGCTATTGTATCAAAATTTGTTGTGGCTATTCAAAAATTTACCTACATTTAAAGGTAATACCTGTAACTTTTAAATTTGGCTGTGCAAAAAGTTGGTTGTATTTGAAAATAAAATGGCTTCCTAGCCATTTTATTTTCAAATATAACCAATTTATGTGATTTATATTTTATTAATTTTATATTATAGATAAATATTTTAGATTATATTAATTGAGTTTTAGGTATTAAAAGAAAAGTCATTATTAACAAAAATATATAACGTATTTTATTTTTTTTAGTTGTTTTTTTTTTTTTTTTTTTAGAATAATTTTTAACATATGGAAAAAAAAAATGCAGCAAAAAATGTTGAATAAAAAACAAAAACAATAAATCTCATTATGCTAGAAAACATGAAACAGCATTAGACATTCTGGCATATTTTTTATTTTAATTTAGAAACAAATGTTTTACAGTATTAGTAAATTGCTAATTGCCATTTCCTGTTGTGTATAGTATAAAACTAATCAGTTACATACAATACAAATATAATTACATCGTATATATCAACAACGCAATAACATACTTCATCTGTAGATATTTGCATATGACATTTAACGTGTTTTTCTTATAAGCTTCACTATGCAAATTATATATTTATATATATTTTGCATTAAAGTTTACAGTTTGTATCATAGCACAACAGTTTAAGTAAGCATATAAAATATTATTAAATCACTTACTTTTGACAACCAAAGCTGTTACTATTTTATGTGCATTTGACTTTTGTGATTGGTTTAGTGATGATACATTCAAAAAACTTATGTCAGTTGCTTGTAGCACCTATAATAGTAAAAAAAAAACGTACATAAATTAAATTAATACATCATGTAAGTCAAACTTGTATTTTTCTAAAAACCTAATCGATGACTGCATATTATAACTTTATTACTGGCAATATACTTACGATCATTACATACCAATAGCTACATATTGTGAATTTATAGTTAACTACAACATCAGAAAAAATCTAAAGCTAGTTTATGCCTACATATTGTAGCTATATTTTTAAATCCAACTCACTCCCAACATAGCTGTAAACTAAGTCACTAGTTGTTAAGTTGACTTTAACAATTTAAGTTACTAGTTGTTAACTTAGCTAACACTACATAAATGATTTAAGCAGAACACCAACATACATAAAATAATTTACTGTTTAAAAAACGCAACGCCAGAGGTCCAGAAAAAATACATATACACGTTTTGAAACTTATAAGTGATTAAACACTGTGCTAAACGTTTAACTCAAGTTTGGCTCATGCAGTTAAGTTAAAACGTATGCATATTACCTAAACTAAACCTGTTGCTTATATCTATTTAGAATCAACAATTCATCTAGAATCAACAACATTGGAAAAAAATCTTATATTTAACTTTCTGATCATCGAAAGTAAAATAAACAAGCATGCAGTGCTACTACTAAGGCTAATAAACTTTAATGTCTTTTAAACCATACCATTTTAACGTTTTTTACTTAAAAACCCTGTTAGGGAAAAAAAAAGATTAGGAAAGAAAATAATTAAATCTATCTTAGGAAATTTATTTGAATTTAGAACTTTTAATGTATTTTAGGAAAGCTATTTTGAATTTAGAAATTCCATGTGAGTTTTTCTGAAAATGGAAAGTTAAATTGAAAGATGAAGTTCATTTAAAATTGGAAAATTTTTATTATATAGTTAACTTAAGGCACTAAAAGACCACCTGTTATAAAATCTGTGATTAAAAGTTTTCTTTTGCTTTTTGCTAAGTTTCAGTGCTTAGCTAATCCAGACTTGTGTGCAAATTATGCAGATAATGCAGCAACTTTGCTATAAGATTTGTAAAAAATTCTATGCAAATTTATGATAGTGGACATAAGCTACAATGAAAAAAGCCTAACAAACATAGCAGAAAGTGTAAAATAATTTTTGCCCACTTGATAGAGAAATTTAATTCCTATTTGAAAACCTCTTGGGACATATAAAGATTTGATACATAAAACACGATTATCTCATCAACAGTTTATTAAACGCATATCAGAATACGTTTTTAACAAGAAATTTCTACATAACCAAAGCCGTAAATCATTTAAAAAACTTTAAATTCGGATAGTGACAAATACCATTTACAAGTTTTTGTAGATATTAAGCCCTTTTTTAGTTTTCCAAATAATTCATTAGAAATTTTTGATGTTGTGAAGGCATCTAATTTGTCTAGTCATTTAAAACTGTCAGAGTGGATGAAAGTAAAAAAAAGTTTGTATTGTTATCATTACCAAACTAAATTTATTTTCATTCTTCTGTCAAAGTAGCTTGTATGGCTATATTACTATAAATGTTCCCTTGAACACTCTATTAAACGCACTTACATTCTATATTTCAACATATCTCATACAAAACATATTTTATAAACTTTTGTTACAATCAATTAGGGGCCAGTTAAGTCTTAAATTTTAAACACATTAGCCAGCAAGAGTTCTGAGTAGCCCGATGATTTAAGTTTTCTTTTGCTTTTATTAAATTTTGATTTAACAAAAGCAAATAAAAACTTAAATCACTTGAGGCATTTTACCTGGTATAGTGACAAATAGGTTGATCCATTGCTTGACGTTTGTGTCAATCCAGCTTCTGTATCTCAAGTGATTTTCAGCTTCGACTCTTCTAAAGCTGGTGGTCTGTACAAAAAACATGTTATAGTCTTGCAGAAGTGTTCTTCGGAGCTTTCATCTTTACTTTCAAATGTATTCAAAAAGTGCTTATTAGAATCTTGTTTTCTAGCATGCTGGAAAGCGGCATCTCTTATCCCTATTTTCAAAAATCCTGGAGAGCAATCTGACTTGTCTAACTACCGTGTCATTAGTCTTCATCCTATCATAAGCAAGGTTTCGGCATCTTAAATTAACAAACACTTAACCTCTTATCTTAAGTCTAATAACTTACTTTCTGATAATCAATTCAAATTTTGTTCTTCTCGCTCTACAGGTGATTTGCTAACGGGTTATGCAAAAGTCTTCGAACTTTTTTTGAAACTGATTTAAATAAGGAGAGTAGTTTTTTAACCTTCAACTTATTGTTTATTTTGAAGATCAAACATTAATGTATTTAAATCACTTTTAGTTTTTATCTAGACTTCTATACAAAAAAAATGACAAGGTTTGATCGAGAAGCCCTTGTAAAACGAATCGTAACAATCTATGAAAACTGTTTAAGTGATAAAAAGAAATTAACATATAAACATTTTTGAAATGAAGGAAAATTAAAGTCAACTATATTTAGTATTCTTGCAAGGTATGAGAAGTATGGTGTGTATAAGGATTTAGTTAGATCAGGTTGTCCTCCAAAAATGGATAAGAAAAAAGTCAAACGATTGACTAAAATGCTAATTAATTCAACTGATATTAGTCAAAAGTATTTAGCTTCATATTTTAAGGTGAACCAAAGCACAATTTCAAGAACTATTAATTTCAAAACAGAGATTAAATGCTACAAAAAACTAAAAACACCTTTGTATGAAAAAGATTCTATTTGGATTCTATTCTTTACCTCTATAAATCTCAAACCCATTCTTTTATGGAATAACGTTGCCATTTCTGGAGTGGATCTTTTAATGATCCTCTTTCTCTTTTAGACAAGGTGCAAAAAGACATTGTAAACATAATTTGACCTGCTCTTGCAGCCAACCTTAAACCATTATCAAATCGTTATAACTTTGCTTCTCTTTCTCTTTTCTACAAATAATAAAATGGGCACCGCTCCAAAGAGCCACCATCTCTTGCGCTATCTACTAAAATTCATTCTCTTTTTCTCTTCATTCAATTAAGTCTCATTCTTTTTCTGTGACTGTTCCTAAGTGCTCTAAAAACTCTTATTTGTTTTGTTTTTTTATTCAAACATAAGTTCTTTCGGAATTTGCTTCCTTTATGTTGCTTTCTTGATTCATATAATTTGATATCTTTTAAGTAATCTGTCAATCGTTATCTTGCTCTAAAATATTCATCCTTTCTCTTCCTGTAACTTCTAACTCTTGCAGTGTTTGCTTTCAGCTTTGATGGAAGCGAAAATGTAAAACTAGATAAATAATTAAGCCTCAAATACTTTCAAACTTATTGTTTCCCTTTGCAAGACAAGAAGTTTAGAAATTCATGCAGAAGGTATATAATCAAACTGTTTAAATCAAATTATTTATATTATTTTTTAAATTAATTACTTTTTGATTAGAAGCTGGTTAAAAATATAGACCAATAAAAAAAATAGTTTATATGTTTCAATGAGGATCAGCATTTCTAACTAGTTTATCCGATCATAATTCTAATAGTTTATCAGACAAACGTCATCGCCACTTATGCTTTAATCCGCAACTTACACCTACTCCATACTGCAGTAAAAAAGGACTCACTACAAATAGACACAACCCAACCAACCCAAAATTTGTAAAGCACCAATTTTTTTTTTGATGATATGATTTAAAAAGCATAGATTTACTGAACAAACAAAAATAAAAATAACTAAATAAAACACTTACCGTACCACCAAAAGAAAACATGAAAACAAAATAAATTAAAATTCTAATAGAAACATAAAAATATTAATCAATTTATTTTAAGAAATAAAACCAAAAAGGTGTTATTAGCATAAACAAGCCCAAGATAATCAGAAAGCAGTATAACTCATTAAAAAAATTTTTTAATAAACAAAACAATACCCTTAAATAAACTCTAACGCTGTCATAGATACCTCATTTGAAATATGATAACCAATCAAAAGTGTAGGAAAATGAGTGACCCGCGAAACCCAAAATCACAACAATAATAGAATAATATACAATAGCGAAAAAGAACGTTGCACAAAAACATTAAAAATGTATGCAACATATATGTAAACGTTAAATGAAGGATATAAAAATATTCTCTGAATAATAATAAAGGTGAAAGTTGTGCAATTGAAAATTAAAACAAAGCTGAGTAATGAATGCAAGATAATATAACATGAAAGTTTCTATAAACAGTAATAATATGAAAATCAGGAGATAAGTAATATATTAATAAATATAGCAATAAGACTAACTAAATATTGTAATAAAGCCAGATAATTTTAAGCCAAATGAGTGGTTAAAAAATTAGTTGTGGGTAATATAACAATGATAAAAATCGTGATATAATAAAAACTTATAAAACCAAAAACGAATCACAAAGACATTAAGAGTGTTTTATCACTAGAATATCTGAAATATTGTTAACTTTTAAGTTTTGAATTAGGAGTTTTCAGCTTAAAGCATGTAGCTGTAGAGTAATATTGAGAGTATTTTAGCACTAGAATATCTGAAAAATTGTTAACTTTTAAATGATTTTTGTATTTTTTCTCTCTTATAAACTAACTTTATTTTACTTTCAAAATAGTTATTTTAAAAAAAACTAATTTGTTGTTCTATGTATTACACATATTGTAAATACAGTAGTAGGCTCTTGTTGTTAAAAACAAATTATGGCATGAAATCACAAAAGCCAAAATAGTTCTAATAATAACCTATATTAGGCTTGTATTTGCATTTTGATTAGGCAATCATTAAATTGCGTTTGGCTGATAATCTCTATTGGTGAAAAATAATTGACCAATGCAGGGTCTGTGGCAATCTTATTAGAGATGGGTGCTATCTGATGGTTTTAATTTGCCAGCAATTGACAATATTGGCTAGCAGAAGCTGAAATTGTGCCTGTATTAGCCAACATTTATCCAGCATTAGAAAATATTGAGTTTACAATGGCTAATGTTTAGCCAGTATTAACCTATATGGGACTCCTATTGGTCAATGTTGAGCATTAAAAAGTTATAGCCTATATATTGCCTTTAATAGCCAATGTTGAGCAATGATATATATATATATATAATATATATATATATATATATATATATATATATATATATATATATATATATATATATATATATATATATATATATATATATATATATATATATATATGTCACTATGTAATGCCACTATTTGAATGACTTAAATAGGGAAAAAAACATTTACAAAAGCGATGACATTGAAAACAGACAGTTAAAATCTTATGTTCTAAAATTAAATAGACAAAAATGTTTACAGCAACTTCCAATGTTCCTTTATCTAAGACCTTCAAATTTAACTTTGTTAAATAACCAGAAGTTAAAACAAACTCTTTTAAAACAAAACCAGATGAAAGGTTGCAAAACTGCTCTTTGTTAGCCTGAAAGTTTGTGATGTTTTCATATTTTACATTCGGAATTACCTATATTAAAAAAAAGAAAAAAAACAGTTTTAGGCATTGATATTTAAGTCTAAACTAAAATTTAAAACTTTACAATAATAAAAATAATACCTTAATGTAATGAATGCTTTTAGTATATGCTTTGTACTTTCCAATCACTTTTATTATGATTCTTACATTGAATTCATTATTTTCATCACCAGGTTCCAATATAAAGTCAATTAAATTAGGCTCATCAGTAGATGATACATTTAATATAGGATAGGCAATTGCTGTTTTACTGGTAAGATTCCTGCGTTGTGACTGGCCATTATCATAAAAAAACATGTAGTTAAGCAATCCATCTGGATCTTTCCAATCATTACAAAAAATGTTAAACTTAGTTTCCAGTGCATAACCTTTTATTGGGCTATTATAAAAATAATAAACAAATTTTACCTAGTTTATTTAAGCAAAGATACAAAAGCAACAAAAATATTATTATATGTACTTTTTTACTGATGGCAATACTACGACAATTAACATATATATATATATATATATATATATATATATATATATATATATATATTATATATATATATATATATATATATATACATATATATATATATATATATATACATATGTGGACTCAACGTTTTGCCATGCTTATTTAAATATAATTATATTACACATCCCTATGTTCAAAAAATGTATAAAGATCCTATCTAAATGGTTTTCCAATGATTTGAGAAATTAAACTAAACTTAAATGTAAGCTAGGGTTTATAACATTCAGTTTGGCAGAAAAAATCTAATGCTACTATTGAATTTAACCGATTCTTGAAAGAATTTAAAAAACAGATCAAATTATCAGTAAGAAACTAGGAAAAAAGATATCCTATCCAAATGCAAGGCTAATCTAAAACTTTTGTACTCCAATTTAAATACCCAAAATAAAATAAAGTCTAAAATCAAATCAATAAAACAATTTAGCGAAGTTATTCTTGACCAATAGCAAATTACAAAACAAATAAACGAACACTTTTATTCAGTTTTCAATAAGAATTGTTCGAATATCAATCATCCTCACCTGATTTTCAAATTAAGAACATCTAAAATCTGTTTATTCAATCAATCTTCTTTCTCAATTTTGATAATTACTATGCAGCTACAAAATCTCGACTGACGACTCAAGATTCCTTGTGGCGACAACATACACCCTCAACCACTACACGAGTATTATTTCAGCTTCTCTGATGCTCTTCTTCCGTTTTTTGTTCATACCCTTCAAAATCTTTTTGTCCCCCTCTTAGAAACCAGCCAACATCACTCCGATTTTCAAAAAAGAAGACAAATAAACAGCTTCAAATAATTAAACAATCTCCCTAACATGTGTATATCCATTACATGCGTATCTTGCAAGAACGCAAAATTAAAGCAGTAATGTGAAACACCTTTTCCGTAACGATCTTATTACTTCAGCACAGCACGGCTTTGTTCCCAAAAAATTATACTCAACAAATTTAATAGAATTAATTGACATTATCTCACAAGCGCTTAATGAAGGTAATGTAGCAGATGTTATATTCTCAGATTTGGTCTAAGTCATCTTGAAAGTCATACGCACTAAGTTTACGTAGAAGAGAGTCGTGATAGATCACAACTCTCTTCCACTTAAACTTAGTGTGTATGGTTTTTAAGTAGTCATAGGTTCAAACTTGTCAGAATGGAAAGAGGCATAAAGTGGTCTCTCTCAAGGTTTCGTGTTGAGCCAGCTGCTTTTTATTATATTTATCAATGACTTTCTCGATGTGATTACACACTATGTCAAACTCAGTTAAAACAACTATAAACTAATAGGAATTATCAATACTTTGAACAATGAAGGACCCGAAAAAATGATTTAAGCAAAACTGTTGATTGGTCAAAAAAATGCAAAATGAAGGTGAATGCGAAATGCAAATCGATGGGAATCATTAGCGACACTAAAAGTTCCTCTATATGATTATACAATAAATAACTACAATGGACCTCTTTATTTGCTAGAAAAAACTGTTTCTGAACAAGATCTTGGTGTACAAATTACAAATAACCTGAATCGGAATGATTACTTAAAACTTGTTTCAACAAAAAAAAATTCCGTGATTAAGGCTTTAAGACGGTCATTTAAAACATGGAATATAGAAACAACTTTAACATTTTATTGTTCTTTGTCAGTCCTCATCTAGAGTTTGCGTCCTCAGTTTGGATTCCTTCCCACCAGTTAGACATTAAACTAATTAAAATGGTTTAAAGACGAGCTAATAATCAGATTCCTGAAAAAAAGAACATGGCATACAAAGAGAAACTTACAAAAATTGATTTAACAACATTAGAAGAATATCAACTGCTATAACCAAGGAACTTGGTTAACAAAAACAGCGTTTCTAGTGGAATCTGGTTTTCTAGTGCAACATAAACTTTATTATTAATAAATATTGTTAATAAAAAAGTTTGTTTATACATATATATATATATATATATATATATATATATATATATATATATATATATATATATATATATATATATATATATATATATATATATATATATATATATTTATATATATATATATATATTTATATATATATATATATATATATATATATATATTTATACATATATATGTATATATATATATATATATATGTATACATATAAATATATAAAGATATATATATATATGTATACATATAAATATATAAAGATATATATATATATATATATATATATATATATTTATTTATATATATTTATATATAATATATATATATATATATATATATATATCTATAAATATATATGTGTATATAAATATATATATATATATATATATATATATATATATATATATATATATATATATATATATATATATATATATATATATATATATATATATATATATATATATATATATATATATATATATATATATATATATATATATATACATAAGGAGTAAAAATCTAAAATGTCTAGAACTAAACAATCTAAAAATGATCGTTGGTAATTTGGTTCTCAAACTTGTCTGTTTCAAATAAAATCAAAAGCATAAAATTATGAATAACTATTTCAAAGTGTAGGCACAAAAAAGAAATTTCTTTTTTTCTCATTTTTCTTAATTTTTAATTTTGTATTTTTTGATACCGGAGATCAAACATAAAGTATTAATATCAAACTATTTTTTAATTTTTAATTTTGTATTTTATGGCTGATGATGGTAGTAAAACATAAAACTTAATTTGCATTATTAAATTTTTTTTTATTTATTTTTAATTATACATTGCTCTTTTTTTTATTGACACAGGCAAACAACTGTTGCACACAAGTTGAAAGTCAATTTTGTCATCTAAATTGTTGCACAATTTAGATGACAAAATAAACTCATTTGTATGTTTTGACTCAGTGAAATTAGATGTCTTTGATTTTTTTTCATAACTTGTTTGGAAAAATTTAATGGGACAAATTATTTTTCATTAAAAACATCGTACAGTAGAATCCCGTTAACTCGGACTTATTTTATGAAATACTTAAGAGCAAATTCTATATTTTAGCTATCATAGCTCGAGCAAAACAATACTTGAATGAGAATCAACGAAAATTAATGTTGGATTTACAAATAAAACAATAAACTTACAGAACTATTGAAAAAGAGACTGGAGTTTCACGTTCAACCATTTCAAACATTGTAAAAAAGTTTGAAAGTCACCAAACTGTAAAGATTTTGAAAGGACGTGGGGGCAAACGCAAGACTTATTTTAAAGAAGATCACTTGATTGTAAGATTATTCAAAAAAAGTAGATTCGAGTCATCCAGAAAAGTTGCAGAATATATTGAAAACAGCACTGCAACCAAAATAACAAATAAAACAATTCGAGATTGTTTACATAAAAATATGTTTAAAAACTACATACCACGTAAAAAATCATTTTTGACACAGCAACATAAGAAACAACAATTATTATTTGCTAAAGCTCATGTTAATGAGCCAATTTCATTTTAGAAGAAAATACTGTGGTTGTATATATTTAAATTTAATTTGATACATTCTGATGGTAAATAAAATGTTTAAAGAAAAACTGATAAAGCTTACCGTTTAAATTGCGTGCAAGGAACCATAAAACATGGAGGTGGTGATATAATGATTGGGGCAGTATGTCATGGAAGGGTGTAGAAAATTTTGAATTTATCAAAGATACGTACAATGATATTTTGAATAATAACTTAACTTTGTTAGCACGTAAATTAAGATTAGGTAAAAATTTTATATTTCAGCATGACAACCCAGAAACAAATTTTTAAACAAATTTTTCATACATTTTATTGTCTTCAAAATGTCACAAGAAGTTTTTATTGATTTTTTTTAACTAACTAACAGTAAGTAACCAAATAATATTATATAACGTTAAACGTTAATGAATTATAGCTTGTACCCAGTTAACCAACCCAGCCGGGACCCAGCTGGGATTGACTGGGATTGAGCTGGGATTACTGGGATTGGGTTCGGGCTGGGATTTGTACTGGGTGCCAGATGGGTCCCATATGGTGTAAAAATATTGCAGCAAATAAAGTCTGGTTTTTACAGGGATTGACATGGGGCTTCCATAAATGGTTTACGGCTGGTTTGAAGATGGGACGCGTAGTTTAATGGTAGCGTATATTTCTAATCAAAGCAGTTTTTTTGGTATCGTTTTTATTAAGAAGTTTTGTTGAAATAAAATTACAAAACTATAATATTAAATATTTTTTAAAATAGATTATATGGTTTAGTGTGCTTACAGTAACCGCTTAGTGTGTTTATTTTTATGTTTTTTCAAACAAATCTCATAGACTTTTTGAAATTTGCTATGTTTTGTAAAATGACTTTGACAATTTTTATTTACAAAACATAGCAATGTTTTACTATGTATTCATTTAATCATAATAATGCATTTTTTTTAATTAAAAACAACTTTTAAACAAAACCTTAAAAAAATCCTTAAATAAAAAGAAATAAAATAAAACGTTTAAATTAAGAGTTTGGCAATATATATTCGCTATTTAAAATGGTTATCCCATTATATTTTTCCAACACTGTAACTATGTCCTAGTAAATAAACTTGTAAATAAAATTTAATAAGAAATAAATCAACAATGAGCAAAACAACTTAAAGTCGCATAATCTATATTGATATTGATGAAAATAAACTTTTAAAGTAAATTGTAAATTTTAAATGGTTAAAAATGTGTAAACTAATTTTTATAAGCTGGTAATTCATGTCCAACTTATGCATAATTGTTTAATACTTAGTACACATTTTTTTTGTTAAATAAAATAAAATTTTTATAAATTTTGTTTCTTAAAAGAAAACAAAGTATATGGTATTTTTTAATATAGAATTCAATATAATTTAAATAAAAACATTATTTATAATATAAGATGAAATATATAGCAACTTTTAGAAATATTTATAAACATTGCTACATAGCACTAAAAATGCAGCATTTTTCAATATTTTAAGATTTTAATAAATATAGTATTTTATGATACTATGTTACAAAATTTAATAAAATAACAATATCAACAACATTACCATTACAAAAATAATTAAAGAATTTACAAAAAATCTAATTAAATTTTCATTACAAATTATTCATGTTCATTATTTTTTTTTTAAAAAGTCGAGTTTAAAAAAATTATTGCCCTACTCAAATATATTGTTAAATAAAATACTTACTCTACATAACAAAATCCTGAAGTTGGTTTCGTAGATGTAGTCTTTGTAAATTTAAACTTGGCTCTATTTATTGCATCAGCAAAACCAACTGCAACTATAAAAGTGTAGCTAGTTGATTCGAAAAAAACGCGTGTGTTATAATTAATTAAATTTAGGGTAAGACGATTTGTTTGAAGTATTGACAAGTTTTTTAAATTAACCGCGCCAAAATCATTTGTTATAGTCCAATCTACTGCTAATCTAAAAATTGAAACATAATAAAAAGAAAAATTATTAAAATGTCAACAGTTTATAAGTATTTTTAATACTTCCGACTATTACTTTAAACATTGCTTGTCCAAGTCATGACATTAAACAAATACTATATATTTGGGCAGGTGATTCTTTTAAAAATGGCAATTTATCAAACGATTATAAAAAGTGATATAAAGTCCCAAATTTGTTTGCGGATGGAGATTTGAATAGTGATCTTTTTATTGGTACTAATACAAAAACAAAACACTGTAAACAATTTAAACAAAAAAACGGATATCCCTTTGAACCACAGAATTTTAGAAACACGGATACTAAAAAGTATAACAAAAAATTGCTTACCTTTGAGAAACACAATTTGAACAAATAAATAAATACATAACAGGCTTTTGAAAATTCAATTTTTCATCACAATTAGATATGCACCTATGTATTAAAAAAATTACTTTAAACTTGTTTGAAATAGTTATTTATTAATATCTTTATCTTAGTAATTTCTTCAACAAACTCTTTTGAATATTTGTATATTATATACAACTATTATATATAGCATATTTTATATTTATCTGGGTAAATTTTATTTACCTAGAATAAAATTTAGTTTTTTGGTACTTATTTATATTAAAAATAAATTTGAATATAGTTTTATTAATAATTTAGTTTAAGTTCCTATAAGTTTCATTTTATATAAATTACCTCTCCCAGAAGATACAAAGGGTGATCACATTTTTTTCTGTTATTATTTCAACTGTGACATAATAGAAATCTCCACAAACATTTGAACGAATTAGAAAGTTTAGTTCATATTTATTTTAGTTGGGAAAACGTGTCTATGATGGCATACCGCCTATGATGGCATACCGGTCATATTTCCATAAAAATTGGTTTTGATAAAAAAGTGATTAGACTTACATGACTATACATTAGTTTTAGTGAAAATACGCCTCTTGTGCCCTTATATTTAAGATTGTGATTTTTTTATTAACTGTTCAGAAAGGGAACTTTCATGCATTTTATATCCAAGTTTTGTGCATTTAGTGGAATACTTGCTTTAATTTTATCTTTTGAATGAGGCAGACACAGCTTCTTTTAATGGAAATGATAACATACAGACAAATTGGATGTGCTGCAATAATGACTAGTTAGTAAAACATTTTTTTTATAATAAAAATTTATTTTTAAGTAAAGCCATACTTGTAAAGTTTTTTTTTATCCAAAGAATACATAAAATGCAATATATTTTATGTGCATGCGGGAAACTTTGCAATGCTGAAGTAGCATGAAATGGTAAACTAGAATGGTTCTTAGTAATTTCTGACTTTTTTGAGGGAAGAATCTAAGGTTAAATGAAATTATCAAGATACACTTGATCCTAACAAGCCCCATCCTCCTGGGTGCCACCATAGGAGCAGTGGTTGCCTATGATGGCATACTTGTGCATTTTTTTAAAAATAGGAATAACTAATAAAATAAAAAAAAACTGATAAAAACTCCGAGGGTCATTATTGTTTTACATATAACATATCAAAACTGTATCCATATCAAAATGTATCGATATCAAATGTATCCAATCCATATCAAATGTATCCAATTCCCAGTATCCATATCAAATGTATCCAATCAAAAATGTATCCATATCAAAACTTTTAATATTAGTCTTAAGGATACTGAACAATGAAGCCTTCAGGGTTCAAAGTTAAATATACCATCTTCAGTAAAAGTATACCATCTAAGTATACCATCTAAGTATATCATCTAAGTATACCATCTTCAGGCTTCAAAGTTAAGTATACCATCATAGGTACCTTTCCTCTATCTATGAAATAACAAACAACAAATCCAAAATGACAACCTATGAATAGTAAACCATGAACAGGATGATGAATTTAAGTTAATTTAATCTTGAAAATTCGTTACTGCCAAATGCTTTAATAAATAAAATTTACATCATTAAAAAAATACTTACATCATAAATGAATACCAAATAGTATTTCTTATTATTTAAAAAATATTGATTTTAAAGATTTAGTATCTAAAACATCTAGTATCTAAAGCCCTATTCTAATATATTCTTAAACTTTTGAGTGACAATTATCAACAACATATTCTAAATAAAAAAAATTAAATCAAGGTGACTAGGTATTTATTCTCTTCTGCCTGATAAAAAATGATAAATATAACACGAAGTCTAAGCTTTTTCTTTAATAGTATCAAATTCGAGAGGGAGAAGGAGGTTCTACCAAAAATATAAAATGTTTTATAATCAATGTAATTTAATTAGTTAATCTAAAAAAAGTCTAAATTTTACAGCAAAAATCTCAAAAAAACTGTTTTATAACTGAATTTTAAACAGATGTGGTAATCAGAATGTGATTAAAGCACACTTTAAAAGCCTTATCAACCAATAATCCATAATATAAAAATAAATAAAAAAATCACTAAAGCTAAGTAGAGACTTATTAATTATTAAATTTTAAAATACATTAAAACCATATTAATATAACTAGTCAAATATAAGCTTATTATTCATATAGATTTTTTGATTTAGCCTTTTTTTTCCGCAAATGTTTGATGCCAGCACTTAAATGGCTTTTGTAGAAACGTAGACATCCAATAAAAAAAAAACTTCGACAAAAACAAAGCAGAATTGATTGACAGAAAAACTGCAATACAATGCTTATAGGCAACATAGTCAAAAAATATCAATTAATCTCAAATTGATATAAAAAAGTAAGTATGAAATATGTAGAATATTCTTTAAAAGTAAGTAAACAATACTCAAAACATTTAATATTTTTTTTGTCCAGAAAATAAAGACAATTAATTAAAGTAATGAAAGTGAGCCAAAAAATATTTGCAATAGTATCTTAAATTAAATCAAAATTAATTTTCTTTATTACTAAACATATAAAACATATGTTTAAGTAATCTTTATCGCTATTTTAAGATTGTTCTCTTTTTATCAAATAAATAGGACTTTGGTTTAACAAAAGAAACAGTATGCAGGGCTGTCCCGAAGGGGGGTGTTTGGGGTGTCCCCCCCCCCCCCCCCTCTCAAAAGCTGTCATTTAAGCATTTGAGTTGGCACATTAAGCAAGATTTGAACTATAATTGGCAAATTGCAAATATTGAGGACCTTTATAAAAATACTCAAAAATACTCAAAAATAAAAATTTTTTAAAATTAGAAGATTAAAAGTTACTATTGAAACAAAACATCTTTTGATGGAATAATTCAGATTAATATATAATGAAACAATAAAAGTTAATATAAAATAGAAATTAGTAAATAAATTAGATTAATATAAAATGATAACATATATATAAATATAAATATATATATATTTACATATATATATATATTCATATATATATATATATATATATATATATATATATATATATATATATATATATATATATATATATATATATATATATATACATATATATATATATATATATATATATATATATACATATATATATATATATATATATATATATATATATATATATATATATATATATATATATATATATATATATATATATATATATATATATATATATATATATATATATATATATATATATATATATATATATATTATCTAATTCTCTTTTATGGCTATATCATAATTACTTAGAGTAAAAGCGGGTCAAACCGATCATACTTTTTTTTTATCACTGATCGAATAATTTAAATATTATCGCTAAATTTTATTTCTAAGTTTATTTCTTAGGACATAGTTACAGGGTTGGAAAAATATAATGGGATAACCATTTTAAATAGCTATTCAAATGTGTCAAAATAAAATCCAAGTCATTTTTCAGTCATTTTATTTTTATTAAAGTTTAAAAGAGAGTCGTAAAAAATAGTTTTTTTTTTCTATTTGCTATTGTAACAATTCGGGAACCATAATTCGTTTAAAAATAATTTTACCTATATCTTGTAGAAAATTTAATTTTAATACCGATTACATAATTTTTTTTTCGTTTTATAAGAAAAATTAATACAAAATTTTTACTGGTAAAACCGATCATTCGCATAATTACTTTAAATTCGTTTATTAAGTAATAAATGTATTTTTAAATTAGGTACCTAGGTGATTTAAATTATTGAATTTTCTTATCTTTTAGTTCCGGTTTCTTTCTATATAAAATTTTTTTACAAAAATGACTCAATGATATTTATTAATTATTTACTTTCAGGATGACAACAAATAAAAAGTCATACAATGAAGAAAATAAAGAAGCTGTGTTTAATAATTTTAAAAAAAAAAATAATTTAATCAGAAAAGCTGTATTCAAGTATGGCATTCCATTCTCAACTCAAATAGGTTGCAAGAACAACAACAATGCTAGCTTCAAAGGATCAAGATCAACAATCGTACTCTCACAGCAAACAGAGTCAATTATGGTGCATGCGTTTAAATTCCTATGTGATTGGAGTTATGGTTTAACACGAAATGATGTCATGGACTTCGTATGTGGTTACCTTCTTCGTACAAATCAATCAGGACTGGCAAAGACTGGTTTTATGCATTTATAAACCAATGGTCTAAAGAAATTTCCACAAGTAAAACTCACACTTTAGCATCTGCCAGAGCCGCTTCTTGTACGCAAGAAATAATTGATAATTATTTTGAAGTTGTCACTAAATAATATCATTGTCTGAGATAACTTCTGGTTGTCACATTTGGAATTGCGATGAAACGGGTTTCTGTGGCTATTAAGGCAAAGCAACTGTAGTATGTCGAAAAGTTGCAAAGCGTGTTTTGAAACTCGCTGGTAACAATGAAACAATCCATTATACAGCAAACAATTGCTGTAATGCTGATGGATACTTTACACCACCATTCGTTGTATACAAAGCAAAACAAAACTTTAGAGCTGAGTGGGCTTTAGGTGGTCTGACTGTTAGGTGACTTTAGGTGGACTGACTGGCACCAAATATTCAATTTCTAAATCTGGTTGAATGGAGCATGACACATTTATTGAATGGTAGTCAGTTTAGCAGCTGTATTAATATGACGGGAAAACAATATAATTTTGATTTGTCTGCCAGCCCACTCATCTCACATTCTTCAGTCACTGGATAGAGGTGTCTATTGCCATGTTAAGCAAGTGTGGAAGGCAGTTCTTACCAATTAATACAAAGACACAAAATGCAAAAACTTGGATAAAGAAAATTTTCCTACGTTGCTCAAACAGGTGTATGACAGCGGTAAGTGTTTTACACGTTTTCACGCTGTTGCTGGTTTTGAATATACTTGGATATTTCCACTTAACAAAAACAAAATCATACAACAGGCATTAGCTATCTCCGAAACGTTTAATCAACCTACGTCTTCAACGCCATTGCGAACAATAAAGTCTTTAGCATTACCTTCTAAACCAACAACAACAGCTTCAAGGTTCGACAAGTACAGAGAGACTAGTACATAGACATTGTATGAGAAAATGAAAATCGAAATAGAAAATGAGCTAAAGAATTTTTTTCAAGCAAAAAAATCAGTCACATGTAAAAAAATTGAGGCAACCTAACGTTCCAAAAATCGCTGGCCAACATATTACAGAACAAAGTGTTGCAGATCATCTCAAAAAAAGAGAAAATTTATTAAATGTATTTTATATTGATTGGTTTTAACAAACTTTCTGCCAAAAGCGATCTTTTTTTTTTTTCTTCTAGTTTTCATATTTTCAAATACAATTAAAAAAAAAACATTAACAAATAATATGCTTGTTGGTATTTTCTATTTAATTTAAAAAAAATAGTTTAAAAATTTTAAAAAATATAAAAAGTGACTTGATTTTTATTGTTCGGTGATCGGTTTGACTCGCTTTTACTCTATATAAAAATCTTGTATTCTAGATAGATGTATTAAAATATCTCGAAGTTTGCCTTTAATTTATCAAACTTTTTACTTAATTATTATACAATAAAGTTTTTGGTCTAAGTATTTTACTATTTTACATTTTTTATTTTTTTTTTTTTTTAGTTTCTTATTACTTGAAATTAGTACTTGTACTATATCTAAATATTCCATGAAATGTAAAATCTAATTTAGAATAAATTTGATTTGATTTGATATATATATATATATATATATATATATATATATATATATATATATATATATATATATATATATATATATATATATATATATATATATAAGGGTGGCCATTGTGGCCATGGCCATATAGTTTAAAATTAGATAGATTTATTAGAAAGTTTATATATTTTTTATCAAAGATCTTTTAAAACTTTTAGAAATAATTATTGAAATATTTTTGAAGATATGTTATTGAAAAAGAATATAAGCAATTTTAAGACTTTTTTCGTCTAGTGGTTATTGATAATCTACGTCACGCTAAATTTAAACTTCAAAAACTCTCAAAGTCAAACTCTCCGTGACGTACTTTATGGAAACCCTTAACAGCTTATGGCCATAGAGATTAAATTTAACGGCAGCCAACTTAGCTTCAGATTTTTTTGCTAGAGGAAAATCCCTGAAAATTTCATTGTCTGCCGTAATTTAAGGAATTTGGCCATAGAGATTCCTGCCATGGCCACAACGGTTCCTATTACACGTTACCGACGTTTTATTCTATCAATAAATGCTCTGAAATAAATAATATAATATAGATCTCTCAACCGTGAAAATAAAACTTGGCCACAAAATTGTTTTTAACGTGTCCGATTTAGAAAAATATTCTGTTAAATAGCAGCTAATAACTTAGGGTTTTTTATTCGCTACCGTGAAATCATCATTAGTATCGAAACTAAGATAACGTGACTTTACTTGATTATTTAACTACTTGATTATTTAAATATTATAAAACATGAATCCTTATTTAAATATAGAATTAGTTGCTTATGCAATAGAAACAAAACATGCTTTTTGCCTATGATAAGTTTAATGTCTTAAATTACAAAACTAGACTTATTAAAGAGCTTTCGGAATTAAATTTAATGTTTCCAAGAATACATTATTCTTACCAATTTAACACAGATATGATGGATTTTGTACCCTTAACTAAAAGAACTCTTGGTTATACAGCATTAAGGTATTTTTTGTTTGTTTTAAGCTTTATAAAAGTTTTATTTAATAAAAATAGTAATACAAAATGGACCTACATCTATGTTGGATTTTAACTTTATTTATTGGTGTTTAACTAATTATTTACACATTTTACTACAGATTTATATTCTTGATAATGTGTATGAAATTGAATTATTAAACACACAAATAAACTATAAAAGTGATTAAGTTTTTTAATGAGAAATTATGTTATATACTAAAATGTTATATTAATAAAAAAAATAAAAAAATAGTTAATCTATTTTTGTTTTGTTATTAATACTACACTTTAGTATATTATACTTATTATTCAATTTGAATATATTTTACTATTTCTGTCAGGTCTACTAAACATGTAAATTGTCTTTATAGCTCAGTTTCTTTGATTTTAAATGACAGTAAGCATACTTCAAAATTCTAAGATTACTGACATTAATTGAATTATTTGAAAGCATAAATTTTTACACATAGTTGTAGAACTCTCAGCTTTCTAAATTTCCTTTTTATTGCTGTTTCGTTTAAATACACTGACAGTTTTTCAACAATTAATGATAATATTATTTCTGAATGTCATCTTTCCTTTGCCTAATAGCATTATATAATGTTATAAAGCAACCTATCAAACCTATCAATGCTGATATTGGTTTCAAAAGGTAATCGTAAATCATAACTTTTTTAATACCCTTATAGAGCCTTGCATCCAAAAATTAAATTGTCCAATTAATATTTTGTTGTGCAATTTAGATAAAACAAAAAATAAAAGTGTTTTATGCTTTAAGCCAAATAATTTTGTGGCACTGGTTAAATATCTTCCCAAAAAATGACCAGCTGTTGTTATAAGTGATTCAAATTTACTCAGGATCAAAGAATATAAATTTATAAGTCTAGTTTTCCACCTACAAATAAAAAAATACATAAACCAAATCAGTCTAATTTATTCTTTCCTGCTGTTTCTAAGAACACTTCAGATAAGTCTGATATTTGTTATAAAACAGTTAAAACTAAAATATTTATCTATAATATATGTATATATATATATTTATATATATATATATATATATATATATATATATATATATATATATATATATATATATATATATATATATATATATATATATATATATATATATATACTTTTGTTTCACATATCTAAAGTATTCAGAAATGTGAAATTAAACTAATCTATCTACAAAATCTCACAAGTTTATGCACATTATAAAAACCTATAGATCTTAGTACACTAATAAATAAAATATGCCTAATTATACGCCAAAACCTCATGTGCTTTAGCACACCTTCAAAACCCTATAAAATACCCTTAGCATACTTACAAAACATTATAAACACACTTAGCACATTTACAAAATCTCATAAACCTTAACTCACTACAAAACCTCATGATCACACTTAAAACCCTAAAATACCTTACAACCATATGCAGAATACTAAGAATACATTTAGCCCATGTACTCTAGTAAAAAAAACAAAATCTCATAGGCATTAGCCCACTAAAATTTGTAAAAAAATAAATGAAAAAAACAATGACAAATTACAAAGTAATCCTTTGTTTAATTAATTTATAATTTAAAAATACTGTACTTAAAACTTATAAGGCGGTCAATTAGTCAATAGAGATAAAACTGCTAATTTACCATATTCAATATACAATACGAAGTTATGATTATGCAAATAATACAAATATAAAATCAGGGCAATAAAAAAATATCTATATTGAAAATATATATATATATATATATATATATATATATATATATATATATATATATATATATATATATATATATATATATATATATATTAAAAATATACCTACATTAAAGCAATGATTGGTATATTTCGTTCAACAAGAAGAATTTCTTGAACAAAACAGTTAGTCTTGACTAGTTCATTTAAATGTATATCTCTTCCAGCAACTTTTGTTCCACAAACTTTAATATTATAATTAATTCCTTCTAAAAACTGTTGTGTGCTGAATTTTATATTAGGGCTGTTTGAAGAAATATCCATCCATGTTTGATTAAAACATGTATTACTAGAATAATTTAATCCTAACTTGGTAAAATTTTTCATGGCATAACTTGCTTCTAAAAAATCAGAAGCAACTTTACAACTCCAGGTAAAGGTGATATTTTGAATGCCACTTTCCTGATTATCTGGATCATAACTAGATATTGCACTTATTGTAATGTTTTGAAAATAACTATTGTTTCCATTGTATATTTTATAAGCATAAGAAGCCAAAAGGCCATTCTGAATGCTCATAGATAAAGGTAAAAACGTGACGTTTATGTAAGCATAATAATCATAATAACTATGTCCATAGAAATACCGTAACCTTAAATAGTATGTACCAAAATCAAGCGAATTTTTTAGGATTGTGTAGGTTACTTTTTGTTGAGATAGGATCCCTTCTATTGAGTTTATTGCTGAAATAGAACTATTCAGACTCCATTGAAAACTAAAACTTTCATTTTTGCAATACTGTCTAACACTATCAACAGTAGCAGTAAAATTTTTTGAGACACTTCGAAAAACAGTTACTGGATCTAAAATAGTTCCATAAGAAAATCTAACCTCTGGCACAGAACAAAATAATACTTCAATGAAATAACTTAAACTCAGAGTCTGCAAAGCATTACTGCTTGTTACAATAAGATTGTATGTATTCTCTTTTTCATATGAATGAATCATATGAAATGAAACAGGAGAACAAAGTTTTAGATTCATAACTGACTGATTATTATATGAGTAAGTACCATCACCCCAATCTATAGAGTAATTCATATATGACCCTTTGTCTTGATATATATTTAATATGAAAGGTTTTCCAAGAGATAATTTAATCCATTGTTTCTGAGCTACTAGACTAAATAGAGGAATCGTTTTCACAATTAACGGAGACATTAGGCAAAAAACAGTTACATTTGTTGAATTGGAGTAAGAAATGTAACGAAATGTTTTATTAAGATATACAAGAACACTAGAAGCATAAGTAGTGACTGTGTACACGTTGCAAGCAGAATATCTAAAATTAAAGTAATTATATACAAACAATGTGAATACGAAACTGTATGATCAAATAATAAAAATTCTATCAAAATAATCAATATATTATAAGTAAACCGTCTTTGACTGTGATAGACATCATCATCACTATATAAATATTTAGAGTTTAATAGAAAAAAAAAAGGTGTTTCAATTTCTTAAAATATTAATAAACCAATGTGCATATGGCAAAATTAGTCTTATAAAAAACTAAATTTAACTTTCAAAAGTTTCTTAAAAATAACTAAACTTTGTTTGTAAAAAACAAAATGTAGAACCCATTTTTCATATTATTTGCATGAAAAAATTTAAATCCATTCAACTACTGACATTTTAACTACCGTTAATTTTAAAATGTTTTCACTATAGTTCAAAAATATATTAATGAAACTGAACCTACTTTTAATGTTTTAAGAAATGTATTGAGCATCATTGGATCATCAGTAAATAAAATTGCGAAAATATTTTAAATGACATTATTTAAAAAAATCAAAACATAATTATGAAACATTAACTAAAATTATTATTTTTGAAATACTCTTCAAGTATTTTTTAAACAATAATTTAATAGAAATAGTGAAATATAAAATTAAAATGGTTGGAAATAGTAATAACTTACATCGAATTAAATTTAGTAGTTTTAAATTGATGTTCTTGTTCTATTTCATATATATTTATCCTATTATATCTAATATTATCATTTTCACATTTTTCTGCTCTTTCATGGCTTTTTTAATACTATCTTTCCAATATTCATAATATTAAGCATCTTTTTTTTGTTAACTTTATCATGTTTTAAGTTCAAGTTAGACATTTTTTGTAATTAAAACACAAACACCAAATCCAAAACGTGATGTTTATATTGTTCAGGAATAGTGTTAAGCTGCAGAGGTTGAGTTAATATAAATAACTATATCACTATCAGTGTATAATTCCATTGAATCACTAACTAGGTCTCTAACATCATTCGTGTAATCAAGAATGAAAAAAGTAGTTTTAAGGACAAAACAATGCAGGATAAAACTAATGACTGATGGCAAATTAGATGTAGTCAAACCAATGACATTTTGTTGCATTATGTTAAAATAAAAGGATTTTATGCAATTTAAAAATCATATTATATACACTATTATCAAAGATTTTATGGAGTAAAGATCATAGGAAAGTGTATCAACTGCTTTATAAAATCTAGATAGAGAGCATAAACACTGCATTCACACATTGAATTTAAATAAAATTAATGCTGCTCTCAAAACAATTCAGCCCACGTCAATATCCAGCAAAAGAACTATTTTAGTTGCTGGTATATTTTTGACTAAGCTTTAAAGTTGAATGAATTTCTATATATCAAATGCATTAATAATTTTAAAATGCTATTTTCTAGAACGTTAAATTATTGAGTTATTACTGCTTGATAAAATATCTTTAATATTTTAAATATTAACATTTAAATTTTTAGATAAATTTTTTAATTATACATTGATATATATATATATATATATATATATATATATATATATATATATATATATATATATATATATATATACTTTTGATTCCATTCTCTACCTCTACAAATCTCTTATTCGTCCCTGTATGGAATACTGTTGTCATATTTGGGCTGGTTCTTCTAACGACTCACTTTCTCTTCTTGACAAAGTCCAAAAAAGCATTGTAAATATTGTTGGACCTGGACTATCTGCTAAGCTTGGACCTCTTTCCCATCGTTGTAAAGTTGCATCTCTTTTTCTTTTCTACAAATACTATTATGGTCACTGCTCAAAGGAGTTATCATCTCTAGTTCCATTAACTAAAATTCATTCTCGTTTTACTCGTCATTCAGTTAAGTCTCATTCGTTTACTGTATCTGTCCCTGCATGCTCTAAAAACTTTTATTCATCGAGTTTTTTTCCCCGCACTTCAATCCTTTGAAACTCTCTCCCATCTTCATGTTTTCCTGACTCATACAACTTTCAACTTTTCAAGTCTTCTGTCAACCGTTTCCT